GCAACATTTTTCGACATGCGTTGCAACTTACTCATTGAAATAAAATGTAACTCATTGATAGATATCTAATATCCAACTAGAGTCTGATGATTTACTTCATTTATTTAGTCTGAGAGTGAACTGGTTTTTCTTTAATTATTTTGCCCCAATCTAGGTTTTTCTCCTGTTTACTAGCTATATTCATTTGTGAATCACACAAAAAGTTATCCTGTGCGCGATTTGAATTTCGGTTTTACAGCCATCGCGTCTACCTTGCAGTCAAATTTAAATATATTTAGATATTACAAAAAAAAAAAACATTATTACGATGGTAACAACGTCAACTCGGTAACTTATTGGAAACTGAAAGTATGTATTTGAATTAGGGCGCGTCTATTTGTATATATTTTGTACTTAGTCAACTACTTTACACTCTAGAATGACAACATATTTTGCATGAAATTGCCAGTTTTATCACGATTTTAAAGAATTTCCAAAAACTATTTCTGATCGTCTTTTACACTATGAATTGTAAAGTAAGAATTTTTGTTAACAACATGGTGGATATATCCAGTGTATATGTGTTTTCCAAAGGTTCGTATGTAAGTGTAACCAGACCCATCAAAACGAATTGAATATAATGTCTACAAAGCAGACGCTGTAATCCGCACGCAGATCGGTACAGCTCGCAATGTAATGGTTTGCGCGGATTTGTTATAATTATTCTGCGTAGAGTTGGAGTCTAAATATTTTGAGGCAATCTCTACAGTGATCTGTCTTTCGCTTAATCACATTAAACTTTAGTTAAATTATACATTTATTATGAAAACTGTACTTTAAGTTTTATTCAGAGAGATTGTTAAAGAAATATTTATAAACCGATAGTGTTTTTCATTTGAAAGCCTTCAGCAAAGTAAGTCGTAAGCCGTCGGTTGCACACTTTGCTGTGCGCCCATACAGAAGAGACGATTGTGTTCGAAACAAAAGGTTTCAGGGTGCATTCATAATTGCATTTCTTTTGAATACGAGGCAAGTAAACTATACTGCCTATTTGTAGTGAGATTACTACGCTGTGAATGGACTGGGATTATAGCCTTGTATTTAAAAAAGAAAAACTATTTGTAACTCTATTATTTGCATTCTTGGAAAAAAATCATCATCGTTGATAATTATTACTTTTTATTATCAGTATCATAAAGTTCAGTGTTTCGTTGATAGTAAAACTAATTAGAAATTTTGTGTTGCAATGTCATGTAATGCCCATTGATGTTGATGAAATAGCAACACCAGGAACTACAAGGGGAGATAAGATTAAGCTTGTAAGCCATTATAGTAAACATATCAAAATAATATTCTGAATATCTCTATTGGACAATTGGTGATGATAAACATTGTATTGTTGTTATAGGGAACAAATAAATAAGTTTGGATACTAGAATGTTAATAAATAAGAATAATTGCTAGTAATAGAAAGTTCTAGAAAAAGTTAAGTTAGGTTTTTGTATTGACATGGTGCTTGGTACTCTAGTGTCTAAAACCGTGTTTGTCTGCCGGCTGTCGGCGTAATTGTGAAAATTGAACGCGCAAATAATCAACCTATATCAGACGCAAGGTTATCGCCCCCCCCCACACAACACTTTGAGGATTACACCATGTTACCTGTATTGTGTTGTTTTGCGCTGCATTTCCACGAATATACCATTATATCATGTCATGTTTGTCACCACACAGGTGCCTGAATCAGCAATAGTATTATAATCTAGCAATACTGTTGTAAATCATTTTATTTCAATATTTACGAAGACATTATATTATATACTAGCCACCCGCCCCGGCTTTGCACGGGTGCAATACTGATAACAAATTTCTCCACTATTTCATGGATGTTAATATAGATATATACATCTTTCACCTAAATAACCGCATCAAAATCCGAAGCGTATTTTTAAAGATTTAACCATACATAGGGCGAAAAGAACAAAAGTGACTTCGTTTTATACAGTGAATATTATAGTACATTTATATATATGTCTAACCCGTTGAAATAATAAATAGACTTAGATTAACCATTTTAAATGTGTAAAGTTTCGTTCAAGTTACTGATTCTATTCTCTCGATGTATTTGCTATTCATCATTAATTTTCATTTGCAGTTCTGCAATTACAATAGTTTATTTGCATCGATTGTGCGGAAGCGATCCCCCGGGGCGCGGGAGCTTTCTATTTCGATGTAATATTAAATTGGAGCGCGTCGTCTATATCGAGCTCTTAGCACGTTAACTATTCACCAGGTTGTGTAATGTTGCCGGATTGTTCAACATTGCCACCCCAATATTAATATGAAAACACTATTTAGATATTACTTTTAATTATAGGGCTCAACTTTTAAATAAATCTGTCATCTAAAAGCAGTTAGTTAGTTAAATTTCTCCAAATGTTTGATCTTTAATCTTTCCAAATAAACTGAACGTTTTCAACTCCATTCATTCATGCCGAGAAGTGCCAAAACTCACAAAAACAATCCATCAAACCGCAATGAAAAATATTTTATCTCAAAAAGGTATAATTGGCAATTGTGTTCAAATGAAAGAGAAATGTTGACTAATTTTCCACAATGAAGAACCCTCTCAAAAGTCGGAACAAAGAAAGATTACAATGCTAAGTTAGCATGAAGTGTTCGGGGACAATCGGGGACCTTCGGCCGTGTTCGGGAACAAATAAGTTACGAGTACGTAACGGAACAGGAGAACAAGCAAGAGAACTTGGTCCAGCCCTGTACCTCTCAGGGCACAGGAACAAGTCGTTTGTGATCTCGGATACTGTTCTTTATTATTACTACAGATGAAATAGGTCCCGAAATATTGGGTTACTTGGGCACTGAACTGTTTAATCAACACTGCAGACTTTGTTTAATCAAATCTTATACGGGTCCAGTACAGCTGTTTGAAGTTTAAGTACTCCCGCTAAATCTTTTGAAGTTGCTGTCTTGCTGATTTTGGCATTATCCTGATCAAATAATGTTTGCCAAGTTTCACAAAAAAGATGTTACACAAGGTTTTAAGTTTTTTGAAGGTTGCTTAATGCGCTGAGCCATGAGACGAAGTTGCTAGTTTTAGCTTTAAATATTATAAAATGTAAATATCAGATTCTTAGTTAAACTTGTTAAATCAGTTTTAACGAACTGTTTACTAATGACTTGATCACGTTTAAACTTTGTAAGATATTCATTTAACGATTGGAATTTTTAATTAAGTATCGTTGGGTTACTGATTTTATTAGTAAATATTAATTGAGGTATGTATTAGATCAGTACAAGTGAGTGGGAGCAAGTATTCTCGTGCGAATCTGCATATAATTGCAATCAGCAGCCAGACTCCAGCCAGCGGCTGACAGACTGGAACGCAAATTAATTGTGTCTGAATAGTGTGCGTGTAGTGTCTGTTACCCAGGGCTGACATGTTCATAATTATGTCTGAATAATAGGCGAATTATTATCTAGATTTATTGGCTCATTTACTTCTCTGATATCCACCACAGCAGCAAATGTATAATGTGTATTGACAATTCGTCTGTACTACACAAAATACATGAAAATTCAAGTTGGCTTCATTACCAAAACAAGGATGGAAGCGGTATCTAACAGACCTAAGCAAATAAAGATTTGTTGTTAAGATTGAGCTCATAGTGCTAAGTAGGTGTTCGCCAGCGAGTAATTAACCTAATTCCAAGATCTGTACGCAGGATCCATTGTCTCAGCTATCGAGGAGACGATTTATTTTATTTACAGATCACAACTAGCAAACTAGCAGGGTGTTGCAGAGCCTATAAATCGATAACTACCAGAAAAAAAACAACAAAGTAAATAGCACTTTAGTATGTGGTGAATAAAGCACCGGTTTCTAATGAACGCGATAAAGGATTGTGGGCGCTAATAACAACGGTGCGATCATTAATCTGTTAGTCAACTCGGACCATAATAAAAGTTCTTACAGCCGTTAATTAGAGTGGCCAACACACACTCACACGTGTTTGTGTGTGTGTTTGCAATGGGACGTAGGCATTCTGGAGATTTGACATTTAATTGTTTTGTTGGATTTAATTAGCTTTAGTGACCGGCTTTACAAGGGCAAACAACAGTGGAAATTTGTTCGACATTGAAAGCGGTGTTTCTCGTTGCGTAGTCGTTACGCAGTCGCCCCATGCCGCCATTGTTCTCTTCTTACACAAATAGATTCGCGTGTACCCAGTTGGCTTTGATATTGTTTATTTTTTTTCTATTTTGTTACGGTTTCAGAAGAAAGTTTAGATTGTGTTTTATGGCGAAACACGCTAGCTTTCCGTTCGAAGCTAGTTGTACGGTTTCCATATTTCAGTATTTTTCTTGTTCTTTTCTGGTTTATTTGTTACGTCAGTGGTTATTTTAAAACCCTTTTTTGAGTTGGCTGTAAATGCCGTTAATTTTGTGAATGGCCTCAATTTTTTTCCGTTTGTTCGTGTTTTGTTTACCAGACTTTTTTTTCTCTTTTTTAATTAAGCTGGCGCTGTCTGATTGCACTACGAAATAAAATTCGTGAGGTTTAAAACGAAGGCGCTGCTCCAAATTTACGTGATGTCACATATATCGTCTTCGAGGCTGTGCATACATGGTGATATCTTTGCAGGTAAATAAATGTCTTGTGAATTTATTTAATAATTATAAAAACACGCGGACGACAATAATAAGCGGTATAAAAATTCTGTTATTTTGTACAAATTTATAGCGACACGATACGAAAATAGATCTGTTCAATTTTTTTTTGCAGCGCCGACATTCTGGTAATGTTAATAAAAAAAGAAAACTATACAATTGTGTAAGTGGCCCAGTTACCTCATCCCCTGTGGAAACAATGGCTTACTTTATTGTTACATTTAATTTCTTTCATTATACTTATTAAGTATACTACGTAATATATGAGCCTCAATCAGCCTTACAATTTAGATTAATTTTGAAATGTATTTTCTTACCTAAGCTTGCTAACGTAAATGTTCGACGAGGTAAGTCGACCAGATTCAAGCCACATTAAGAGCTCATATTCCTGAGTCGATTGGACGTGTTTTCCTACGTTAAGACGCTCCTTGCGTTAACGTAACCTCGTTAAACAGTTACAAGAGTGACATAGTTATTACTCACGAGAGCTCTAGCACAAAAATTGTCTTCATTTTCCGTTGACGCCTTTTAAGTTTTCGTGGTAGCGCTTATCTTTGTTTTTTGAATAGTAAAAAGGTTCTAATGGAAGCTGCCATTCCGTTATTTTCCTTCCTCGCTCGTTCAACTCTATGAATTAAAATCCGAAGTTGAATAATTCTGCAAACAGAGAGAAAAAGATTTTAACCATACAAATAATAAGTCTTCAATTTTACAATATCATCTCATATCATCAAAATTCACTGACTCACTTTCCACGTAAGTCACACAAAGGCTATCTAGAGATGACACCGACATGTTCTGTGACAGGGAGTAGTGTAGCAACTATGGCAATTAAGGAATTACTCACCAAGCGCGCACCCGCCTGGACGTTACCACCGGTTATTAGTTTTGACCGCACATTACATTACAAGTTGGTTGAATTATGCGATGATTAAATTCGATTATCTGGCCGACGTTCTCACTGTGGTATTTGTGTGAATATTTACAAGTATTTAATAAATTTGCAAATTGTGGGGAGCAGCAAACCGCTTCACAGTGACTGGTGTCACGTGTTTTACATACCGGCGAGACGGGTGTTAATAGGTAATCTACGCAACGGGTCGTCGGTTCCAATCCCGACCGTGTCCGAGGCGTCCGTTAATTAACGTCGGAACAGGCGACTGAATGACGAACTGGCCGTATGGTAACGATGTGTTAATATTTCAGCGTCTAACTCCGTGTGAAGGTCACGGGTCAACTGGAAGGTGTCAACGTGACACCTTCACGAGTAATATGACTTGTTTAGTAAATGAAACGAGACCTTAAAATATCAGCTTTGTAGATTTTAATAAAACGCTGCTTCTCTGAAATACTTCACACACTTTTCCCTTAAGATCTTTGTTCTGAAGAGTTTCCAAGTTGAGGAATACGATCCTAAACAAAGTTATTTATAGAACATCGTAATCTGCGTTTATGTTGTAAATATTGAAATCGAAACCGAAGAATTTTGTAATAAATACTGCCGGAATGGCAGCTGTATCGCGAGTTGGCACTGGCGCGATTGTTGTAACAATACCATAAAACGTTAAGCTGGAGCTACACATAAATCTATGTCGAAACTCGGGACTAAAAATAGAATCGCATCAAATGTGCAGATTTCTGTTTGCTCAAGTCAATACTATGTTCCGATAGAACATTGACCCAATTCGATGAACATCTGGAGATGTGGCGAGATATTCCTCGGCCGGAGGCTGTGAGCTGTGACACAGATATGTAGCTGTGCTGGGATTACTGGCCAACTATCCGATACACGATGCGCCGTGCGGTCACGACACTGCCGAATATTTAGCTATTATGGACTATTCCTTACTTTCATACCAGCTCCTATTGTATGTGCAACATTGATATGTGTATGTAGTGTGACAACAATCACAACAATGATGGAAAAGAAAATGTTGTCAAAAATATTTCTTTGGAACAGTGACATATCGATGATCGATGATGTTTCACATTCCTGTCTATGTTCACTGTATGTCAGAACTTTTTGATATGTGTGATCTGATCAATAGTTTACCTTTAATGTGTTATCATAAACAAGGTTCTTCAATTTTCTTTTATTAAAAGATACTCTTACATTTTGAATATTTCAAGCCATAAACAGCTTTAATGTAGCCAACGTATGCTCAGCTCAACGCGGACTGTAATGGAAGTCTCACTAAAACATTAAAACTGTCTATTATTTCTTCAAACATTAATACGGTGGTGTAAAAAATCTTTCTTCGGCTTTTATAAGGCGTTATAAAGGAGGTTTGTGAGGGAATTACGTCACTCTGAGAGGGCTATGTAATTTCACGAGTGTTTCACTCCGACACAGATTTTATAAGAAAATTTCAGGTTGACATTGTTACAGAAATTGTGTAACCTGTACCGTCGAGTAATGTGCTTTTGTTTCATTTCTTTTAAAAAAAACGTTTATTTTTATAAATCCACAATCATCAATTTCAGTGTGAAAATGGTGTCCCTACGGAATTGTAAATGAAACAGATTCATTTGATCAACTGCTCTTACATAACAATAAAATTCACTCAGTACTTTATAAATTCCATTACTCTTAGATTTCATGAAAACTCGGTGGAATATATAAATCAAAATGAAGTATGTGACCGTTTGGAAACCGTCGGCGACGATATTCTTATTAAATGTTCTCTCACGAAATTGTTCTGGAGAAATGTTTGTGAGTATGGCGATGAGTAGTGTAGTGAGGAGTATGGTATTGTTGTTTGTCTCCTTGTATGGTTGCCTGTCATTACATGACATGTTAGTTATGCAAAATGGGAATTTAAATTCATACATTTTTTCTGTGTCCATCACGGGGTGGCGACACAGTGATTAAAATGCAAATTCCTAGAATTATCTCGTGCCCTTTCTCAGTGGCTGCGTGACACAGAATGGTCGCGCCGGCTAACGCCTCGTCCGCGCCCAGCAAGCGTGATTGTACGCAATTCTTTGCTCTTTACTTACTCTTCCTTTAATAATATTAGCTATGCAAATCACTCCGCTACGTAATCCTTTCCAAATTGAGCTTTTTTGTCTCCTCAACTCAGTGGTTCACTCATTTCCTTGTATTGTAAATGTTAGACAATCTTTTGTTATTGAAAATATCTTCTTGAACAAATACAAACCAAGTTATTTTTAGAATAAGATTTTTGCTAAATCACATGACCTCCAACCTCGTGTGACTGACTCGAATGGAATTTTGATTTAGAGAGACTTTTCGATCGGTTCTAAAGTGCTGGTAATGGTAGCGTGCTCCAAATGAGTGTTATTTATATGTGCTGTATTTTATAACTCACGTGGGAAGTAAAAATTCACGTGATTTACACTCCTGCGCCGTTTATATAGGGATAGTCTCTGGTAATACACTTTAAAACATTAGAATTTAATCCGATGTACAAAAGATGAGATTGTTTGTCATGAGTTTTGCGATTATATTTAGATTTAAAGTAATTTAAAGTTGACTATTGTGTGGTGACAATTAGTGTGGCTTGGGGGTCGTAGCTATTAGCATAACAGCAGCGGCAGCAGCTGACACCAGAACAATAACAAGTGAACTTGCACTTGTGTGTGCCGGAGCCGGGGCAATAAGCCTCGATGTGGGGCATCTTCCAAAATCGATAGCGGTGAAAGTGGGCAAGGACGACCTTTGGCAGCGCGCCAGCCGCGGCCAAGGTCCGCCGCTGCGAGGATGTCCCGGCTCCACTATTGATGACCTAACATTATGGATATGTCGAACTATTCGACGCGTCTCTCGCACACACATTACTTGCTGGAACCCGTTCAAATACATGCCGCACGTTACCAATCTAAGGTAATGCGTGCATATATACGCTTCCTACCTCGGTATTTTCCGCGAAAACATTTCAATTATGAAATGTCTCTCCGAATAGGCTTAATTCAGCCTTGATTGAAATCCCCATAAGCCTTTTTCCTGTGCAAAATAATGTCGCAATCATGTAACAGTCCCAGCTTCATAATCTTTAATCCAGTTACATAAGTCTTACGAATGCGAGCATTTAGTACGTACCGCACCCCGCGCCCTGCGGCCGGCCCACGTATTCCGCGCTCCGATATTTTCAACTAAATATAGCTCCAAGGTTACGCCGACTGTACAATACAAGCCTATTTTCCCCATATTTGTTGCCCACCAAACAGGTAATAAAAACTAAGTTAAAAAAATTATGGTTAAAAGTAAAACTTAGCTTCATGGCTTTTTCAGAAATTCGTCTTGGATAAGAACAGCTTTCAAATGCGTAACATTTGTATAAAATTTAAAACTCTCTACACACAGGTATAGCGTAAGCCTGCAATAGTGCAGCTGGTTATGAAGGCACATTCAAATTGGGACGCAATGATCCGAAGTGCAACCACTCAATGTAGGAGAGTGCGATCATGTGTGAACCGCCATTACAGTTTTGGGCGCAAATTCCCGGCGGCTGCGGCTCTGCGCGCTTGAGGCCGCACGCTGCCGCTGCCGCGATGCGAGGAATTCAACTGTGAGCAAGGAGCGCTCGAGAGTCTTCGAGTATGCGGCATTGATGCATTCACTTAAATGTCTGTTGAAACCTAGTTGTGGTGGTTTCGATGACGGTGGTTATCAAAACTAGTTGGAATAATGCTTGCTTTAAAAATGATAGATATATGATTTAACGAAGTGTTCCAGTTATTTGCCGCCGGTGTATAGTTGTTTATCTTAATTGTAAAGTTTATACAGATATCCCATGCAACAGTATCACGTGCTGTGTAGTTTGTGTCAGCCGCATACGAGCTAACTTTAGCCAGTTCAGCTCACAACGCGGGAGACATACAACTAGGTCAGCGCTAAGTGCATCAGACCAAGTTGTGAAGAACAGTTGCGTGGTTTTGGCCGAGAGATGTTAGGACTGGTATCCAGTGTAAATGTTGGCTTACATAAGTTTACAACACGCCGCGCGCCGCAAGCCTGCGCTGTCCCTCAAAGGCCATGCAATTAATAAGTTCCACCAGTGAGCGACACCAGATGTTTTTAAACATCTGTTTATTAACGACGTGCTAGTAAATTAAAATGCAAATTAAGAGAGCTCGTGTCCGGCGTCCGGAATCCGTGTGCGACGTCCGACGCCTGAACTGTCCGATCCGATCCGTAACAAATAATGTATTCGTATTTATGCGTGGCTGTCACCGCGATCATTGTCAGGTTAACCGTTATGCAAATGTTAGGAAAAATGGCCGCTGTGGCCACTCTGATAGAGAGAATTAACGACTGTTGACTGAGGATTAGCAAATATAGCTTCTATGGACAATAATTTTATACCCAAGTTATTGTATGATTTTCGTTTGAATTCTAATGACAGTTAATGAGCAATCAGATCTGATGCGTGTGCGCGGTTTTGTATTCTCAATACACGTATTTAATATGTGCAACATGAAACACACGAAAGTTAGACGCATTGTTAATTGTACAAGCTTCAATAATCGCCGCGCTTATGTTGCGTCGCAGAGTTATGGGTGCCGCAGTATACATACACAGTTGCGGACCTACTGCTGCTGCTTGCAGTTACCTAAATTAATGATATTATACGTTAACTTATAGTTAAGGTAACTTTGTAGGTAAGCTACATAACACCTTAACAATTGCAACTTCGTATAAAGAACAAACGTTAACAAATCAATAGAAATAAAACAGTCAATCGATATGACCTTACGGGACATCGATCTAATACGATTATATTTACGCGTACATAAAATTCGTGTCCATTTTCATCTATTTTTAGTATCGTGAAACAGAGTCATGGTGCTTATAAGCCTTAGCACGCAGGCTTCAATCCGTTCTATTTCGGGAGAGACGTGACTTCAAATATAATGGTTTGCATGCTACGTCCTTATTATTTGGGAATGTACTCGTACCGTGGTAACGGGATTTGTATTAGGCTGAAATTCCTTGAGCCTTAACTTAATAGTAATGTTGTGCGTAGTTAACTGTAGGCGTCCACGTGGAGCCCTGGTAAACATGAGCCAGGTTTTTGTATATCTGTACAAAGTACCTACCTACACTATTTTCTATAATACTGAAATGCCAATGAACCCTCTTTTTCTTTAAGTTCTTTGTTGAAATATTAATCAACCCTTTTGTCTTTCTTTACGGAAAGGAGAACAAATCGGATTAGGTAACTTGCAGCAAGCCCCTGCTATTCTTTCAACTCATAAATTCCCGATTTAATGTGTGATTGTATATCAATATGACAGATACAGTTTCGTATAACAAATAATTGAGCTACTCACACTAAACCGACGCAATAAATAAACAGTGAGCCTAAAATAGTTGATAGTGTGGTAATTTCGCGCTTGATTGCTATCGTAACACAATCGCATATGGTGGGTAGCTGCACGTTAACGCTACCCTACAAACGATTAATTAAAACGCGCTCTCATTACTGTCAATGCGAGGAGTGAAATGTTCCGCCTCATCTGTCTGTAGCGATACCTCGTGAATAGCTAATGTGATCACTAAATCACTTTGTATAGTTTTACAAATGTATTTATGAAACATTGAACCTTAAAAATGCTACGATCAATAAAAACTCAGTAATATTAAAATGCCGGCCGCTCTAATTAGTCGTGTCGCATAGCACGAGCTAAAATCCATGGGCAGTTCACGGAAAAATTGTGGAGTTATTTACAAAATATTCCGTGTACATTGCCGTATAATTAGTTGCTGAGAATGCTTTCACTGCAATCCCCGAGCTGTAGCCTGCCAATAAGCCGCCGACTTGTCGCAATCACTATAAGATTGGAATGATCCAGAAAATATTTCTTGATTAGCACTAGTATTATATCTGATGTAACGAAAATAAAATGCCTATAAAATATAGTGTATCGCAATCAAACGTAATGGCTACGTGTTGTTATTCCACATTATAGCCGAGGCGTTAACCTCCAACTAATCAAAAAGCTGATTCCTCGTCGCCGGCCGTAGAAATACGGAGAGTAACAATTACATAATCCACAAAGAACCCACACACCTCGAGAAATATCGAGCTACTACTGACGGAAATGGCTAATATTTTATTTAGGAAACACAGATTTACTCATAAATATTTATATCTGAGATCTAAGTCCTGCTTTCCCGCTTCGATATTAACAGGGTCGCTAAAATTACATTGACAAATCTTGCTTTTCAGCTTCAACAATGATAATTATTTTTGTATATTTTAGTACCTCTGTTGTTATGTGAATAGTTTTACTTGTCTTGTGTTACTTTGATTAAATTGCTTAGTTTTAGTATGTGTATAGTGTTTTTTTTTTTGTGAGGGGAAAATCATCAAATGACTTCTCCCGCCCAGGGCCGGGCAGGAGGGAGTGTCAGACTCTTACTGACTAAAAACCCCCCTGTTCCTTCTCCTGCTCTGGGCCGAGGTCGCGGTACCTTATTGCGCTTACCCCGCAACCCCGGCTGAACATCAGCCCTTTAGGGCCCCGTCTGTGGTGGTCTATTGGCTCTTTGAGGCGCGCGCGGAACGCTACGCGCCGTACGCTCGGGCCTGGTTCTGGTCGGGCGGCGAGCTGCCCTTACTCGCCGACCGCAGGCCCGTACTTACGGTGGCCGGAGATCGTCCCTCGATCCCCGACGCCCGTAGTGTCGCCAGTTGCGGCTGCTGGGGCGTGAGGAGGAGGATTGCTCCCTCACGCGGGCCGCCTCTCTCTTTGCGAGCATGACTGCTTCACAAAAGGAGGAGACGGCGTCCCAGTTCCTCTCACTCCGCACCATGGCCTCGACTAAGGCCGGGCGCGAGAGGTCGCCGCCGCCGATCACTTCCCTGAGGATACGGCGGTGCTCAGCCCAGGCAGGGCATACCGCTACCGTATGCTCCACCGTATCCTCTAGGTGGTCCTCACAATGACGACACTCGGGCGTTTCCTCCCGCTGAATCCGAAACAGGAACCTACCGAAGCTGCCGTGCCCGGTAAGCACCTGCGTCAGACGGAAGGTGAGGACGCCGTGGCGTCTCTCAAGCCACTCCTCAAAGAGGGGTCTTACCGCTGCTATGGTAGCGTGCCCGGCCCTCGGTTGCGACAGTCGTTGTCTCCACTCTGCCATGAGATCTCGCCGGAGCTCATTCCGCCATGTGTATAGTGTAAGCTTTTTCTAATGTACGATGTAGTGCATAGTGCATATACATCAGCGGCTAACGCCATATGAAGCTAATGCGGCAACATTACAGCGGCACGTCGCGCGGTTGCCCATGCGGGGGAACTGTTTTGGTTTTAACTTTTTTTTCTATATAGTCTACGTTATATACCTATATATTTTCTTTGTTAGCCAACTGGCGATCATGTTTATTATGCTAGGCAAATGACGAGTAAAACCTCTGCAAATAGCTGTTCGGTGACAGCGGTCAGTCGCGGCATGAGCGCGGCGCGGCGTGGTGCGGCATTACCGCGCTGCACCAATAAATTGCACGCCTGTTACAACAGCGAATTTATTTCAATTGCAAATTACATTTATTTATTATGATACACGAGAGCCTCGAGCCGCGGCTGTAAATACGTTACTAAAATGTGAAGTACGCTCTAAATATTCAAATGGACAGATAAAACTGGTGGCTTATACGAGAGAACGAGCACCTACATTAGTGAGATGTAAAACATCAAATATCTAAGTCACGTCCGTGATCCCACAGGAGCAGGCAGAGATGAACTGGATTCATCTAAATTTTGATCACGATACTATGTCGTGTCCTTTGATAAACTGCGCTATCATACCTCTTGACATTGGGTTTCACAAATACCTTTAGACACGTGATCCTTACGAGTGTCATGGAACGAAATAAG